TGGGATAGCTGTTGGTGGACTGAAGCAAACTTCACAAGTTTTTTTTTACAGCATTTGTGTCTCCTGTAACGTAATTGAACTTGTGATGTCCTGGAGCTGAGCTCAATGTTGAGAAATTCATGGGGAAGAGGAAGTTTGGTCTGCTGAAGAGCTATCATGGTAGAGCAGGTTTTGTGTGTTTCTTTTTTTGTAGTTTGATGGGTTTGAAGAGGTGTCTTTGCCAGATGTAGAAGAGGAGGATGAACCACCCAAGATGCCTGCAGCCTCAAAGAATAAGAAGCGGAAAGAGATCGGAGGCCAGAACAATGACAAGGTGGGCCTGGGCTGTCTCACTGGACCGCATATCTGGACTGTGAGCAGATGTATGCCCATGAGGATAAATGTGTCTGAGAGACATGACCACAGCCTAAAAAGATGTGAGGAAGGGGGATCAAAATGTTTCCTTTGTGCTTTGCTTGCTAGCAGCATAATCGCTTTAGTTTTTTGAGTGTGCGCAGAGTGCCACTCAGCCCTTCCTGGCTCCCCTGGGGTCAGCCTTCCCCTGACTGTCATCTTTGTGTTCCATGCACGTTTGTCAGCTGGAGTATGTCTGTTTCCAGGAGGTCGAGTGGGTAGATGGGATGAAGGAATGTTCATGTTCCTGCCATGAAGGGACTAGCGATCTCAAGCTAAAGAAAAGCAAAAGGAGGACCTGCAGCCATTGTAGTAGTAAGGTTAGTTGATAGGCCGAGTCACTGGAGTGGTGAGTGGAAAGTAGAGTCCTGCCAAGAGTCCCCCTGTGGTGATGATCTGTCCGGCCTCGGGCCTCGTGTCTCCAAAATAATGTGGTGAGGAAGAAAGTAAATCAAAAGATAACCAGTAGTGCCTCCCTCTTCGGAGCTCTGGCTGCGCTACCTGGCCTTCCCCATCTTACCTCCTGTGCACTTTCTACTGCCCCTCCTTCCTATGACAAATAGCATTAATTTTGATGCTTTTGAGTTAAGAATAAGCTTTTTAAGTGGAAGATGCTTCTGTGGCCACTATGTGAAAAGAACTGTGCCTGTTCGTAATAATAAAAAAAGATTCAGCTTTCTAAATGCAAACATATTGCCAAACTGAAGCCTTTGTCGGGGCCAAGGAATGCTTTGGAAGCAAAGGCTGAGGTGTTAGGTTTGGATTGAGGTACCACACCTCTAACTGTATGCCTATGTATTGATTTGCAGGTATGTGAAAACAAATTTTATAAAAACAGAGATTCTCAAGAGCTGACTGCAGGCCTTGTTCAACAAGAAGCGAGTCCTCGGCCTGAAGGGAAGGATTCTGGACTGTCTAAGGAACCTGCAGAAGAAAGCCTGGAGAAGAGAGATGAGGGAGAGGATGTCCAGAGCAGAACAAAAACCGTATCTAGGAAAGTGGACTCTCTGGCTTCAGGTATGTCGAAGTCTTGTGCACAGACAGGTGTATCTTTCATCTCCAAACTGGTTCACACAAATGCAAACAGGTATAGGATTTGCTAATGCAAATTTGAGATCATGAGAACTTTGAATCTTTTTTCATTTTTTTTCCTTGTGTTCATTCGCTCTGGATGCTCTGAACATGCATGTATCCAGAGCATTCCCTTCCAAAAAAGCTTTCCTGACTAAAGAAATACTCTCCCCTAGCATACTAATCCGATTCCAGTACTACCAGTCCATGAGACTGTTGGGGTTTTTTACCAGATTTAATTTTAGCACAGCAATTAAAAATCACCATCTCTCTAATTTTCCTTTAAATATCTCCTTCGTGTTACTTGCTTCTCCTTCAGTCTGGTACAGACGAGGGGAAACGTGATTATTGCAGGATAAACAACCTGAAAGAGATCTCTTCTGTCAGTAACTGTGTCTCAGCTAATGCTACTGTTGGAGACAGCGTGCAGGTTAAATACAGTGTTTTAAATCTAATGAACCTGATGTCCCCTTTATAGCGGCTTTGCAAATAGGGTGCCAAGAGCAGCAATGTCTGTTTCAGTTGAGAAATTTGTTCTGGGAAATGCATGTAAGCTTTTTCATGGGTTCATCGCTTCTTCGCACAGCAGCTGGCTGTCGTAACCCACAGAGGTGAAGAAAATTGACTGCAGAGTGCCTTTTGTGAAGTACAGGATGGATAAACTGCAGATAAAATTACAAAGCTGCTCCTGAACTGTTCTCACAGCCTTATGCTCTAGAATAACAATAATAATCTCTCAAAAAGTGAATGAATAAAGCTTCCAGCAATTTTTCTTACTAACAGCTAGTCTAAACTTGTTTGGGTTTCTTCTCAGGATCTCACCTGGAAGGAAAGATTGGTTCCAGCAGACACGCATCTTCTGAAAAAGCTGCACTGCCAGATAATCGGGTTCAAGATGCCGGTGTCAACGCTGTTGTGAAAACTGCAAAGGACAGTGACTCTTCTGTCACTGGCCCCAGATGGACACATCTACAAAAAGCTGCTCTAAAACTACCTCAGGGAACCAAAGACTGCCCTTGCACTGTGGGAAGTGAGAGCGAGCGACTAAACCAGCAACATCAAGGACATGCAGATGCTGCCCTTGGGCTGAGCGATCTGCTGCCGTCATCTTGTTCTGCTATGGCAGAAGGTTTAACGGGACCTAGTTCCTCTTCAGGAAAGAGGTTATGTCAGACTGAAGGGCTTCATTCTGATTCATCAGATAAGCTCACTGCTTTAGAATTAGGTGTGAAAGAATTTGAGGGACCACCTTTGCCTCTGGAGGGAAAACCTGAAGCAAAGCAGGGTTGGGTAACACCGGGTGGAAAACCAACACTAGGTGAGAGCTGCAGCTCAGTGTCCCCTGATCGTCACGTTTTGGAAGCAGGTGACATGGGCTGCACAGGAGAGAGCAGATTAAAGTCAAACACAGACAACTGCCTCCAGGTGCATCAGCATTCTGAGCAGCTGGAGTACGGAGTGGTTACTGCCACCCTGGGGCAAAAGGAAGAGCAGCAGCGTGTCACCGAAGCAACTGTGTGTGCTAAGAACAGCAAAGTCAGCTCGACCGGGGAGAAGGTTGTTCTCTGGACCAGGTATATCTCCCTGAACTATATCTTGCATCCTTCCTGCATTCAGTATTCGGCTTCAGCTTTCATATTAGAGAGTATCTTTTATTTCCATTTTGTATTCCCATTTTCTAATGTCTTCTGCCCCCTCCCTTCAAATATTTCTGCCTTGTTTCCTCTAACCACAGTCCATCATGGTCCTATGGCAGTGTAATTATTGTAGTACTTCAGGCTGGGAAAGACTTTTTTTTCCTCTCCTTCAAAAAGCTTAAAAACAGGTTAAACGCAGCTCTGCTTAGCGATGGCTTGTGAGTGGTGGTAAGGAACAAGCCTTTCTTTGTTGCTCCAGTTGTTATCCTTACCCAGGAAGAGGTCTCGGGCTGCTGGTGGTTGAAGTGTGTCAGCTCTTGTTTTCGGCTCTTTAATCACCATTGCCCTGTTTTGTAGGGAGGCTGACAGAGTCATCCTGACCACCTGCCAGGAGAAAGGAGCCCATCTGGAAACCTTCCATGCCATCTCGCAGAAACTGGGCAACAAGACTGCTAGCGAGGTGAGGGATTGGTGTGGAAGAACTTCCATCTGCCACAGGGAATGGGGAAAGGCGGGGGGGAGGAAGGAAAGATCAAAGTTTCCTGTCGTTAGTCTCCCAAACTTAACTTTAATTTGATGCTGCATCAGAGAAAAATAATCCCAGTTGCAAATAAAAAACCAGAACATACCCTGATCTGTTCTGCTGGAAGCAAAAATCGTGACTGCTGTGGTCATTTTTACATGAGTGCTGCTAGTGCAGCCTTGTATTTGGTACCAGAGTTGTTTTAGTGACTACTTGGGCCTTCAGCTTCAATACAAGGAATCTGTCAGGTTTCTGTGTCTCAGCCTTCCCCTCATCACTGCCTATGAATCTTCCACAACTGCAGGTTTTTACCTGTGAGTCACTAGAATGTAACTGTTCTTCCAAAGAAAACAGAACAATCCAGTGCTTTTCCATTTCTCTTTATGACTGAATTTTACATAAACTGTGATTGTGGTTTTCTAACATAAAAGCACAATGACCCTGAACTTTGTCATACAAAAATCTCCTTTTCGTACCACCTTTTGCATGACTAAGCACCTTGGATTTCCCGTTCTTCAGGTATCCCACAGGTTCAGAGAACTGATGAAGCTGTTCCATACATCCTGTGACGGGAGCTCTGAAGACGAGGAGGATGCAACCAGTACCAGTAACACAGACCAGCTGTCAGATAAAGATCTTCTGCTTTCTGAGGAAGAACCTGATGACTAAGGTTTTTCCGGCTTGATAAGCTACTGACTGCATCGGGGGGAAGAGTTGTTTGCCAGTTTGCTGCTAGACAGGTGCTGTGGATAAAGGAAAAATATTTGCACAGGTACTTAAGACAGCACCTTTTTTTTGGTTGTTCACTTTCCTGCTACACTTCTGACAAGCTGCACTTCTCAATCCGTATCAAACTAAAGGAATGAAGAAAGTTGTTAGGGTGGTAATGTCCTCTAAAACCTACATGGGGAGCTTCAACAGTGAAATGACAGAAGCGATGCTTCTGGACACAGACCTCAGTCCACGGTGAAGACTGGGCCAGCAGCTTTTGAAAAGAACATGTAAATATTGTATGATAAGATGTCTGTTTTCATGTGGAACACACACATGGTTTTTTGGTAAGTTTTCCCCTTGTGTTGATTGTACGTGGGAAAGTTACAATCTGAATTCTGTATTTATTGTGTGGTCTTACTCTAACAGGCAGAGCAAATTAACTTTGCAAAGTTTTAAAAACAAACAAGAACAGCCCCCAAAAGAGCAGCTTTCCTCCTTTACAACACAACTGCAAGTGGCTGGATGACATCAGTCAGCCTTGGTAATAGGATTTTGCTGAGATTAAAAGAAAGTAGCAGTTGGGCTATCTTTAAAGCCATTCCCTTTATTTTGAAAGTGATCTTAAAGACATTATTTCCACTATCTCTGGTAATAAAGATGAGTTAGTCTGAATCTGCTTCATCTTCAGAATCCTCTGCTTCAAACCCTGTTTCATAGCACTGGGACAGAGTTCTTAGCTCCTGTAAGGCCTCCTGGAAGTCACCCTCTTCAACTCCGGCAGCAAAGAAGCTCGCCCACCGCCGCATGTTCAGCTGCTGTAGATCCTTGTATAAGCTGTAGAGGAGCGTGTGCAGAACCGGTGAAGACTGCAGGGCTGCGAGTACAGGGATGCTTTCAACAGCTGTAGTGTTTCATAGCACTGGGACAGAGTTCTTAGCTCCTGTAAGGCCTCCTGGAAGTCACCCTCTTCAACTCCGGCAGCAAAGAAGCTCGCCCACCGCCGCATGTTCAGCTGCTGTAGATCCTTGTATAAGCTGTAGAGGAGCGTGTGCAGAACCGGTGAAGACTGCAGGGCTGCGAGTACAGGGATGCTTTCAACAGCTGTAGCGATCACATTGGTTTCCCTACCCTAGTTTACTTTTACAAGCCGTTGCTTTACTTGAACTCAGCGTAGCGTAAGAGTTGCTAAACACTCATATTTTTTGCCCTACAAATGCTCAAAAGGGTTGTGGGGATTTTTTAAGTAATTCCCTTTTACCTCTGTTAGACCCAGCTGCCACCACATCATCTCTTTTTGTTGTTAAGTTTAAGGGACAGTTGTTACCTGTGGAGGAATAACTGGGAGGTTTGTCCAGGAGGAAGCCTTGTCTGGTGAGAAGAGGAGAAAAAAACTGGGGGTATGGAGGTAGGGTACTACAGGGCTGCTCAAGCACGTGGGATGTGCTGGAAGGAAGAAGGTGAATAAAGTTAACCAAAACTCGCTCTGCCTTCAGGTTCTAGGTTAGTTCCCTGTTTGGAAAAACCCAGACTGTTACCAACCTGAATGCCCCAGGAAACAGAGTGTGTAAGTAACACTGCAGAATCTGCTCCGTGCTCTCACAAGTGTGGAGTGGAGAGGTGGGCTGCTTTCCTGGACAGCTGCTGCAAAGAAAACCAACCAATTCATGGTTTTCCAGGCGACTTGACTGAAAATGTCAGTGACTCAGCTGCTTTTTTGCTATTAGCCTATAAAATCAGTAGCATGTAACTGCCTAGACCACTAGACTTCCCCCCCCGCCCCCCATTCAGCTGACACTCCTAGTAGGATTGTGAATGACTTGTTAGAAGTTGTTGTTGAGAATGCCCGAGTTCTGAAGGGAAAGGTGCGGTTCAAATACTCGTTACCTGATGTGACTTTCTTTGCAAATTCCTCGTAGCACAACAGATTGAGCAAAACAGCAGCTGACCTTTCGCTCCCTACATGAAGACAGAAGCTTCCAGGGCACGTCCTGCTGGTAGGCGCATAAAGTATCGGGGAGCGAGTAGCCACGTAGGGCAGGAAAGGGAACAGACGCCCACGCAGCCACAACCTGTAAGCCAGAGAGCCACAATCGAGAACATGTTCCTCACCTGTGCATGGACGTGAAGTACAACACGTCCTACAGCGGGAGCTTGGGTAGAGCCAAGAGGATTCGAGGTTGCCGTGCTCTGCCCTCACCTTTCTCCCAGAGAAGTTAAGTGTTTCAGCCAGGTGCATCATAGAGCCCTGAGAGGAGCAGAGCCGGTAAGGAGCAGTGAGGGTATCGAGCGCTGCTGCCAGCACCGCGCTGCTCTGATAGTCCAGTGATGCCTGTGGAAGGAGACAAATGGAAGAGTTACAGGACAAGTTAAATTCCTCTGTTCCTCAACCAATTTTTGTGTATTTATCAAAAGCACCATTTACAATATCCTTAAATGTAGGCTGTGTTTAAGTTGTGTCAAGGTTTGGATAAGCAAGTTTGCTAACAAATGATCTGTTGCCAGTTTTCCTGTATTCCCTAGTGCTCGGACAAGGCTGGAGTTACACATTCTGCACGTGAAGCATAATGCAGTACAGCATTTTTTTCAGAGCTGAAACCAAAGGCAGTACACCACAAAGCCTAGAAAAAAGTAAATGTGCTAATATTTTTAAGAGTATGAAAAAAAACTCTGGGAATGACAAGTTGGCAGTTAAGTCTCTGCTAACAGTGAAAAAGCAGGAAAAAAATAACTCTTTCCTGCTTAGCAGAAGAGTTCATCATGGAAAAGCATTGCTAAAAACACATAGCTGCAGAAAACACTTCTAGACAATGGAAATCTGACAACTGGGGTAGGTGGAGTTTCTAGGTAAACCAATATACAGTACATACATCATAGTTTATATATGGAAATGTAACGGGAGGTTGTGGCTTGATTCCTAAACTCCCACTGAGCGACAGGGGGCAAAAGAGCGAGCTGTGACTGGAGAGGTGGACGATGCCCAGGGCTGTGTTCATCAGTCTGTAAAAATTCTTCTGAGAATCCTGGGGGGGCAGAAGTCCAACCATTAAAATCTTACAGATGCAAACAAGAAACATAATCCAGACGGACACGAAGGCATCACCTGTTCTGGGTTTTCCCCATTGTTTACTTACTCCCATGTTACTCATGACCGGAGTCAAGCCCCAGGTGAGGATTCCTTTCCCTGAATACTCATCGTAGAGCAGTTCTGTCACCTTGGCACCAACTCCAGAGAAGCCGTTGTGTAGGTCACAGAGGACTTGAAACCCCTGTGTAACATGACGGCAGCATCTGAGATTCTACTTGATCTTGAACAGAAAGTGCCTTGAAAGAAAAAGGAGCTCGGACTCGGCTGTCAAACCTGCAGATAATCGCACTCTTCCACATAGAAGTGCAACCGATCTTCCAACTCCTCTATGCAGCCAGGATCCTGCAGGAGACTTTCGCCTTGTCCAAAGGCTTCTAGACAGCCACATTCCCTAAGGAAAAGAGGGGGGGGAAAAAGCTTATTCTATCCCCTCTTGATTCTTCCTTGATCCTGTTCTGGATGACAGATTCTGAACCAAACCTCTAGGCCATACCCATCGTGCATGTACTGGCGGATGACGTAGATGCTCTTGGGATGCAAGCGCACATTGAGGTAATCGGACCAGAGCTGCACGCTGCCGCCCGAGTAAACCTCCTGGGAAAGAGCGCGTCGCGAAGGGGCGGGAGACGCGCCTGGAACAAGAAAGGTGCCGGGAGCGAAGGTCTTTTCAACTCTGACCTCCCCTCAAATAAAGAAAACACAACCAGCTTTTAATCTTGTCCGGTTTCTTAACCTATTTGCTGCTCTCTGCCCCATCCCATAGAACTGGCGGGGTTGGAAAACCACCAAGTCCAACCGTTAACCCG